TGGAAACTCCAGCCAATGATGGTGACACACTCCTGTAAGCCACACCGCTCCTCAGACTAAAGCAGGAGGGTCTGAGTTTCAAGGCCAGCCTGGGCTAGACCGCTGTAGAACTATGGAGCTGGAGCTTTCCAGCTGAAATGAGAAGGAAACACGTAACCATTTCTCAGCTGCAGCCTGGGTTACCATGCAGTACAAAGACTTACCTAAATACAGTATGTGTTGGAAGCTTTTGCTAAGTGTGTTTCTAGGAAACTGAGGAGACCCCATCTGGAGATAAGTGGAATTGCTGGCTGAATGATTAGGCTCCAATTATGAAGGAATGTTTTTTTGCATCATCTAAATTTTGATGGCAGCTAGATCCATGGAAGAGATGCCTTTCAGTATACAAACAGTGACAGCAGCAAAGGACTTGTAGTTCAAGATGTTAATTGCACAGCTGCCTGCCTAAGCTGATGTGGTGTTCCAAATTTCAGTCAAATCATTCCTGGCCCAGAAGACCTTCCCTCCCCTTCCGCCACTGCCTAACACTCCTGCCTGACATACTCCAGCCCCCAGCACAGGGTCACTGCTGTCACTTGGGGTCTACTTCCTCTGCTAGACCTCAAGCTCTTCAGAGGCAGAGGTTTGTTTCCTTTGCCAGCCTTAGTTACTAAGAAAGATTTGATGGACAAATGTGAATGAAGGACATTGAAAGGTATCCATCAACAATGGCTTGGTGACTCACTCGCCTCTGGTTGGGAAAAAAGTTCTGAAATTAAAGGAAGTGATGACTGTGCAGTAGACTGGGCTGGGTTATACAGTATGAAATTTTTACCTCAATGGCATTGTAAGCGAAGCAAACAGAGTACAGGGCTTTAGCAGACCTGGTTTGCCTTCCTTAAATGTTCCCAGTGAGGCTGCACATTTGAGAACCATTGCTCCAGGGGGTGTGGAGAAACAGACCTAGGAGAGAAGGCTCACAGTAGTCACATCCAAAACCAGCATGTAGGATGGCTGCGCTGTACAGTGGCTCAGTTTTAGAGCACACACTAAGTAGAGATGCCATGGTCATAGTGTTTCTTCACAGCAATAGAAACCCTAAGACAGACAGACAGATAGATGGAAAAATAAGTACATAAATAAATGTAGTAGACGTGTCATATCTATCTGCGTATTGTTTTGGTCCAACACTGCAATGTTTTCAGGCACTATAACATTTTAGCTGAATGAGCTTAAATTTATATTACCTAAGAAAAACGTTTGAAATAACTACACTCATACCATTTAATATCGCTGTTTTCCCTGAGTTCACGTTGTCTGCATTGTTTTTAGATTATACTAGATGAAAAGTAATTGGAAAGGAAGCATGTTAGCCAGTTATCTGCTTATTTTTCTTTTCTTTTTAAGCCACTTTTCCTGGTATGTGGGAGAGAACAATAACAATAGGAAGCGCTGGCAAGACTTTCAGTGTGACCGGCTGGAAGGTGAGGGGGGGAGGGTACCGCCGGGCTGGGGGTGTGGCTCAGTAGCAGAGCAAGTACTTTGCCTGGGTTCAATCCCCATTACCCTCCAGAAAAAGGAGGCTGTTACAAACAGAAACCCTGTCTTGGAAAGAGAAACTGAACCCATACTTTATTTTCTACAGACTATTTTGCATTTTAAATGCACACATAATATATGTGAGGTTTTAGACTTAGTGATCTTTTCCATATTTGCTGATTTGTTTGGCTGCCATGTCAAGCTTCCGCCTTTTATTTTTTAATTACATGTAGTTACTTGGGTTCCAGGGACGTGTGCTGTGGTGGGTGTGGGGAGAGCAGGCAATGCATTGCAGTCAGTTCTCTCCAACATGTGGATCCCACGGATTGAACCTGGGTCCTCAGGCTTGGCCACAAGCAAGTTCTTACCCTCTGAACCATATCACCGGCCCACATTTCATTCTTCTTAAGACCAAGTAATTTCCTTAAAAGAAAGAAAAATCAAGTACTTTAAAATTTTTATGAGTGATCAACCACTATTACGTTTTCTTCACAAAGAATATTGACCTATGAAAAGAGGAAAAGTAACACTGGCTAGTACTCTGGCTTTAACTGTAGCCCGAACGCTGAGTGTTTGTAAGAATGCTAATTCTTTTCATTCTTATAAGCACAGTGTAAAGTGGGCAAGGCTTTCACCCTTGTTTTACAGATTATAAAACTAAATCACAGGAACTTTTACTGTCTTGCCTGAGATTACACTGCTAATAAACTCGAGCCAGGCCAGGTAGCCCACCTTCAGAGTCCATGCACCGGCCACGGTACTGTTGATCACAACAGTATATTCATCAGGATCTGTAATCCTGAGCCACAGGGACTGGAAGCAAGAAAATCAGGAAGCCATCATTCTCTTTTAGTGAGTTCAAGGCTACCCTGGGCAACAGGAGGTTCAAGGCTAGCCTGGGCTACAGGAGATACTGTCTCACAAAACAACAAATAATCCCCCAATTGAAATTCAATTGTCTTTGAGCCTTACACATGCTAGACAGGGCTAAGTAAGGCACAGGGACTGCGGGGAGACCAAGAGAATGGGAACTGGTGTGCTCTGATTGTGGGGGTGTCCTCTGAGCTGCGAGCAGTTACTTGTGCCTGTACTTCCAGGGCAGCTGCTGACTTTTGTCCCTCCTGAGTACCTGAAGTGGCACACTGCAGAGGGGAAGGGCTGGCTCACTCATCACAGGTTTTGTTTACCTTCAGAAAGCAGACTGAGTGGTGAAGACCCAGCTGGGAACCTCACAAAAAACAAGCCTTACCCCTCTCTCCTCCGGGAATATTTCTGAATTGCCTGTGTTTGTCACTTACACTAACTACTCTGTTAGATATGATATATACTCTTAGATTATGTTTTGAAATCTGCTTTTATTTTTTCCCTTCCCAGCTTGGCTGGAGCATTGGTCCTAAACACCTGATAAAACATTTACAGACCGTTCAACAGAACACATTTTACACTTGTGCAACTCCTTTACAGGTATGTGTCGGCCTTTGTGCACGTGGGAATGAGACAGATTCTCCACGAACAAGCCCTTCTAGCACAGTCTGGGAATTTTGGAGCAGACACATAAATTGGATAAAGCCTAATTTCAAGATCCATAATTTATGTCTACAAAGCTGCTCTGGTAACACAAGCTAACATATTTTAAGGGACAGATGACTTCAGTCATTCTTTGTACTGCCATTTAAAAGGAAAGAAAAGGTCCCTGGGTGTAGTGGTACATGCCTGTCATGTTAGCACTTGAAGCTTCCATCAGGAGAGTCATGAGTTCCAGGCTAGTCCAGGCCACACGGAGACTTCATAGTAAGGCTGGGCAATACAGGAAGACGGCATGGGAGGTGGGTAGCAGGCAGAGAACAAGTAGAGCTTTGCTCTTTGCAATACTGGTTTTTCTTGGTCCCACTTCTCTCTTCTCTTCTGAGTCAGTACCACTAGGGCAATACAGGAAGACGGCATGGGAGGTGGGTAGCAGGCAGAGAACAAGCAGAGCTTTGCTCTTTACAATACTGGTTTTTCTTGCTCCCACTTCTCCCTTCTCTTCTGAGTCAGTACGCTGGAGGAGTTGCCCACAGGTTCCTTTGTTTCTAGCCCCCATGTCACTTACACCACCTTGCTGGGATCAGAATGATTTTAGCATTTCCTCTGAGGAACAAGGAACAGCAGGCTGGCTTTAATTTCCTCCTGTGCCTTCCTAGGTAACAGGAAACGTTGACTCCCTCTTCTCCCCTCTGGCCAGTCTTTAGATGGAAATTTAACAAGCTGGACCTCAGCTCTTCTCAGTAGAAAACGATTCATGTCTCTTTGTTCCCAAGTACACCATCTTTATCTAACACCCCTTTTCGGTTGGGATTGTCATGTCTTCCTCTGTTTGTCACATTGGATTTAAACATTTACATAAAACTCCTTCCTCATTAACCTATGAAGCTGGACAGTTCACAGGAATCTGGCTGTAACTTCCTTGCCACTAATCTTAATTGGATGACCTTTATTTATTCTTCCAGTAAATGG